ACAGATTTCTACTAAGACTCTGATTCTCAGTTATTAATTCTCTGCTAAAGCTTCAATGCTCAGTCACTAATTCTCAGCTGAAAACTTACAGAATTTCTATTCTTTCACTCTGAAGCTTCACTATATACATATATAAATATTCACTCTGATTATCAATCTCTGTACTTTCTCTTTCTTTTTCTTTTCTAATGTTTTTCACTTTTGTATTATAAAATCTATATGTTATACTAATCTATTCAGTGTAGACCTCTTACACACTGTATCTATACTTGTATTTAAGAGTTCTCTTATATTGCCAGTAGATATAGCTATATTATTTATCAGATATGAGATATCTGTGAAATTAAAAGAAGTGTAATTGTATAAATATCTTATATATCTAAGATATTAGAACTCTCAGATCTTTTACAGATATTCTCTTATATAATCTTATTCTCTTCATAGAATCTTGTCACAGAGTTAGAGTGACTGATAAGTAAGCTTCTATTTAGAGACTCAGTATTCATTTAACTAGTTATTTATTTCTCTCTTTCTTATATATTATTACATATTCAGATATCTTCTCAATAAATAATTATTTCTAATAAGAAGACAGTGAATGTTTTTCAAGAATAAAAGGCCTACACTGAATAGATCAGTATGATATTTATAGGTCTTATAATATAAAAGTGGAAAATATTAGAGAAGAAAAAGAAAGAGAAAATACAGAAATTAATAATTGAAGTGAATATTTATATGTGTATGTGATGATGTACGCGGTGAAGCTTCGGGGCGGAAGAATAGAAATTCCGTGGGTTTTTCAGCTGAGGATTGATGACTGAGAATCGGAGCTTTCAGCGGGAATCTATGAAGTGTAATGAAATAGTCTATATAATTGATCGGGCGCAGCCCGCCACACTTCTTCTGCTCTTCAATTTGAAAAGGCCTGTATAAACTATACTCTGAGAGTCATAAAGATATGCTTAAATTATATAATCAGAGAAAGAGTCTCTTCTTCATTTTCATCAATTAACCCAGAAAATAAACTGTATTAGAATAGATTTCTTTATTGAAATAAAAATAATTCTTTAAAGAAAATACTCTCTTGAATATACAGACTATATTCACTGATTAAAAATTAATTTTCTTTATTAAATATTAAGAAAATTGATTATGAGCAGATATCTTTCTAAAGATAAAAGTTGAAATCTCTCATAGACTTATAAATAAGTGAACTATCTAAAGAGAGAGAATATAAATAGAATTTAAAGAAGATCTCTACAATTAATATAAAAGACTCTATTCTGATTTACTCAAATAACTTAAAAAATAAGAGTTTGAACAGATTAGATGCAGACATTACTTATACTAAAGATAATACTAATTTTATCTCAGATTTCAGAAATTTAGACTGTGAATCTGAGGTCTTTAATACTGAACTATTTATAGTAGTAAAAGCATTTAAACTTATTAAAATAAAATCTTATAAAAGAGAAAATAGTTTGAAAGAGATATAAATATTCTCTGATAGTTAAGTTACTTTGAAAAGACTTAGAAATAGTTAGATTTATAATAATCAAGAAAATCTTGAACTCATTTTAAATTCTGTTATAAAAATTTCAAAGAGAAGAATATTAAAACTGATAATTTATCTACACTAAGTTTCTACTTATATAAATATTCATGACAATGAATTGACTAATTCAGTAGTAAAAAGAAGTTCAGAATTAAGTAGATTTATTTGAAAAACAGTGTTCTAATCTTTTATAAAGAGAAAGATAGAAGAATCTTGTTTAAATAAGTAAAATAACAGCTGACAGAAATAAAAGAAAAGTATATATTATTCAAGATTTAAAATAAAACTCAAGTGAAAATCTTGTTTAATTAAATATAAAAAGAAAGTATTCTCATCTATGATTCAGCTGAAACTAGAATATAATTATTTTAAATCTTTTATATAAAGATTTAACAATAGATTTAATTCAATGAAATACTTATTCTACAATACAAATGAAAATTCTGAGTATATTATAATATATTATATATTATACAATAGTCTCAGAGTCAGATTGAAAGAGAAGTATAATTTAGATTAATTAAATATAAGATTCTTATTCTTAATTGAGATAGAAATTAAGTACTTAATAAACTTTCTATTAGAAACTCAAGCAGCTATAAGAAAATAACTGAATTCAGAAATATTTGAATATAAAGAGATGAAAATTATACACTATTTTTTAATATTTTTATTTTATTATAGTTTTTCTTTACTTTACTTTTTCTTTTCTGTTCTTTTCTATTTACTTATTTAATATATCTATCTTTAAGACTTTATTCTCTTTTCTTTTGTCATGATATTTTCAAATGATTTCAAAGTATCAGATGATGTTAAAATACTGTGATTTATAAACAGTTTTTATATTCTGAGCTGAAATTTTCTGATTCTACATATCTGAAATTGATAAATGTAAAATAGTTGACTTTATAGATATTAGAAAACCTCTGAGAACTAAAAGTTCTCAGGTAGATATTATAGTCTCTGACCGTATACATCTATAATTGAAGAATAATAATAATAATAATAATCTTAATAAGAGGCATGAAAAAGCTCTTTGTAAAAGGTATAATATATTTTAATCTTCTTTATATATAATTAAATCAGTTTTATTCTCAACTATAATCTAGTAATTCATTTTATTAAATGCTTAAGATCTACTTTATATAAATATTCGATCAATTCTTTAATAATTGACTAAGACTGCTTATCAGAGTTAGAAGTTATATTAATATCAAAGTCAGAAGAGTCATAACTAAAGTCAGAGTCAGAACTTATAAGATAAGAAAGATGTTTTAGACTATATATGCAGAATATTATTATGAAGAAATTTCAGAGAGAAAAGAAGTAAGAATAAAAGATATTAAAGCTAGAAGTTAGAGATTAACTAACATTATATAAGAGATCTTTAAAGAGAAAGAATTAATGAAATAACTAGATAAGATTTGTATATAATATTTATATCAGCTAGCACGTACTTGAAAGTTAAGTGCTTGTAATTAGAGAGAGTATTAACTGAATACTCTATATAAGATTACATAACTCACACATCTATAGAATACTACGCGGTTAAATTAATATATAATTAATTAATCTTTCATTGTCATTATATTTCAGTTTATATACTTATATATAATTAATAGCTGCTAACTCTATTAGTTATATAAGAGATAGAAATAAAAGTAATAAATCTGTAAAAAGTAAGATTTCTTATAACTGTAATTACTACTACTATAATATAATAAAATACTTTTTATAAAAGTGTAATATAATTTATCTCTGCAAAGATTTAATTCTTCTTCATTTATAATTTATATTAATTTTATACATATTCTGTTTTCTTCTATATAAATATAATTATAGATTTATATAGCTTTTATAATTAAAAAATTCACTGCAATTTTTTTTTCTTTTTTATATTCTGTATGAATATAGCTGTAGATTTATACAGTTTTTATAATTAATTTAAATTATTTTATTAATTAGAACACTGCACAGAGTACTACTATATTTATAAAAAATAATTATTAAAAAATATTATAATTACTATATTTAAAGTGAGAACTTATTTATAAATTATATTAATTTTTAAAATTATATATATCAGCTATTATTATAATGATATAAAAAATTATTATTTTCATTATTTAAGTAAGTTTATACTATGAATTCAAGCATAAATTAATAATAAGTTAATATATAATTAAACAACTTAATCATCAATTTCAAGAAAAAGAAGAAGAAAAAGAAGAAAATAAAAAAAAAAGATAAAAATAAAAGTGTAAAAGAAAATGAAAGAGAAGACGAAGAAAAAGAAGAAAAAAGAAAAAAAATTATTATAATTATTAAATAGAATTTTCCACTTTATAAATAATTTACTACTATTATTATAATTTTAATTTCAATCTATTTTTTCAAATATCAGATTAGAGATGATAGTATTAAGTTATTTAATATTAAAAACATTGAGATTAAATACTTACACTGTGAGAATATTTCTTTTCAAAGAAACTTAAATCATGTTCACAGTCTGTTAAAAATAACTATTAAATTCATTAAAAATGATTGAATAGTTTATAAGTTATATAAGTGTTTTTTTTTTATTTATTTAAGTTATTACAGAGCAGAATGATGATGAAAATATTCAATTCTAATATATTGTAATCTGTCTGTAGAATTGCTGTTTGCTAATGTCAACTAGCTCTGCAATAATTACCACATCAAGGCTTGTCACTTGTGTGCTACAAAAACATTTTATGAGTTAGGACGTTGGTAGCCACTGTAAAAATCAACAGTAAGTAGTATCCCTGGCTATAGAGTCGCAGGTTAAGCGCGTGTGTTGCAGTGAATATCGATCTGATTTGAGCATAGCTAACCTGGATGGAGGTTTTACGTTAGAGATAGTTATAGTGAGTGATGGCTTGGTTATGACTGAGGCTAAGGAAGGATGCTACATGGGAGTAGCTTGCTGCTATGTCCAGCATGTCCTCCCTTTCCCGTCTTCCCCGTCTTCCCCGTCTTCACCGTCTTCCTGTTTATTCGGGAGTGACTATACTGCCTCCCTCCCTGGGTTGGAGTATACTGGAAATGGAACACAGGAGCAGCCCGGTATGGGGAAGCAACTGCCAGAGTTGACACTGGGCGACGAGGATGCCTTCCTCGTCTTGCACGGCGCCGACACATGGGGGACTTCCACATAAAGAAAGGAGGAATTTGCTCTGTTTACTGTTTTGCTTCTTCTCTTCTCTTCTCTTTTTTCTTCCAATTCCTCCCCATTATCTCCCCATCCCACCGTTCACCACTATCTCATAGCCTACGGATAGGAGTCTGGCTTTCTGAGGGAGCTCCGCTTTTGCTCAGCGTCTGTTTGTTTGTATCAGTTCCTAGCAACTTTGTGTCCATTCCTCCCCAGTCGCAGAAACAGCAAAAGAAAGATCAGTTGGTCCGCCTATTAAAGCCTCTAACCATGCGTTTTGAGAACTGGGACGTCCTCCTTTTCCCTGACGGTTCGAAGGTGCCCATTCAAGAATTCAAGACGCAATGCTTCGTGACTAGGGACAGTGGTTAGTTACCGTCCTCCGTCTCTTTTATATTTTCTTCTCTGCATGGCGTCTATACGACTGAAAACTGAGCGAATTTTCCTCTGGGGGTAAACCCCTTCCGTAGAATCTCCCTACATGCATATCGAATCTTTGGTCACTGCTTCCTCCCACCCTCTTCAGCCAAGTTATGCCCAGGGCATCATTGGCTACACTCCTATCTTGACGACCTTTGTCCCTAGCATGTCTCGCAACAGTCCGTTTAGGATTTCTATCCATAGTTGGAAGAAGCCGGCTCCCACGAGGATGATGGAGAGCCTGATGCAGCCGGATGACTCTGTCATGTTTGAGATGCGGGTGTTTATTGATGGAATATTTATTGCGTGTGTAAAATCTGATGATTTCAAAATCCACCAGGCATCTTGTACTAATTTTACTTCTTTAACCCCCTTAAGTGGGAGTCTGACCAACCAGAGGACTGGGTGGCCTCAAGTTATCGGTACGTTATATCCTGTGTTATGTGTTATTATGTTTTTTGTTCTGATTATGGCCTTGTTAATGGCAAATATAGATTCCAATTCTCGTAAGTCGATCAATAATATGATATACGCCGTTTGCGAAGCTTGCTCATAGCTAAACACTTTATGTACCAGATGTCGACAAAAATGGCGACCAGGATTGTTTACACTTCCCGGCGTTCCATGAAGAGATGCTTCAACAGAGCCACTGGGAAGCCGGGGAAGAGTTTGGCCGTATCAAAATTGTTGTTGCGGAAGGGTTTTCTCGACCCAATCGAAATCCCCCATTCGAAAGAGTTAGGAATCTCGTTTTCTTCTCTTTCCAACATGCTCCGTTGAGTAAGCCGCGTCCGTACCCAGCCACTACACTTGGACATAAACTTATCATGGCACCACAGATATTTTGGAAGGCTCGAATTTAGCCTGGCCAAACCCGGGAATGTGGCATCAGGCCTCACGCCCCAGTTTCAAATACCATCTTGGGGTCGACTATGGTGGTATTAGGGAAAATGAAGATGCTCACTCCCACTCTCCAACTCGCCCAGAGCCTCGTGGAATTGGTATCTCGGACGCTAGTCGCTCCTCGCAATACACAACCTGGCCCCAGCGGCTTTATCCTACTCCTCAGACGTCTTGGGCACGGCCCGCATTACCGGCGAGGGACTCTAGATGGCCTTTGCAACCTGTAGTCCAGGACCCCTTCATTGATTCTTTCAGGGAGCCGGGTCTCAGTCGGCGTTCCCGCTCAACCTTGGACGACGTGTCAATGCCAGACTATGCTGCATCAAGCTCCAATAGCAGCCGAGCAATATCTAACATGACAGGCATCAGTTTCGGACAGCACAGTAAAGAGCCTAGTGCTATTGCACCGATTGATGATGAACAGTATAACCAGCTGATCGAGGCACTGAGTCCAGGGAAATTGACCAGTGGAACTCATGCACCGACAAACACACCATCTTCAGCTCATCCCATGGCGTCCAAGCAGTGTGCGGCTAAAGAATCTCGAGCTCGTCGGTCCCATTCGAAACATCCAAGTCGCCCTGGAGCTTTAAAAGAACTGTCCCAGCCAGGAGTACGGGCTGTTTCGGGATCGAGTCCCCGATCAGATAGCGATGAAGGTCTTGGGAGCGAAAATGCACCGCTTCCGTCAAATCTGCTCAGCCCAAACCCAAAGGTGAAAGGGAAGAAGGAGGGTACTGGGAGCGAGGTAGACACACCGCTCTATGGCTCTAATAGAGTACTCACGAATAGCGCGAAAACGGTCAGAAGATCACAGAGTAGCATTACTGCATCCGCTGAATCGAAACGCAAAAGGTTGGGTACTTCAGAACAAGTGGAAATTGCAGAAGACACCGAATCCGGCAGCCCTTCACCTACCAAAAAAATATCCCGCCTGGAGGCCAAAGACTTGAGCCCCCGGTCGACACTCGAAGAAGCTCTGGAGGCAAGAACAAGAGTCACTGCCACAAGACGAGAAACAGAGGCGTCGGGGTAAATGGTTCTAGTTGGTTGTAATTGTTAGCTAACAATCCCCTGGAACTTTTACAAGTCTAGCTAGCAATATAAGACTATACCAGATGGAGGGGTATAGGATTACTGATACAGCGTCACTCTTACACTACTCGATATCAGCAGCACACCTCAAAACGGAAAGACCATTCTATGGTATTGACCAAGTTAGCAGAATTCATGTTTGCCAGTCTTTTTTGTGGTTTCGTTTTCCCTTTATTCTGTTTATTTGTTTTCCCTCTCTTTCCCACTTCTAGTCTTATGGTCTAGCTAGGGCCGTATCGGAACAGCTATCCGTTGGGGAAATGTAAAGCAGCAGTTACAGAGCTCTATCCCTCGTTGAGGGCTTTTAACACTTAGCAGGTGGGGTGTAATGCGGGCGTGGTTTCTCGTATGTTTTTGGTGGTTCCTTTTGTTATTGTGCCGCAATCCAGGTAATTGAGTCTCCTACAGAAGAGACTCCTGGTATCTCCTTCCCCTCTTCCCTGTGCTGGCTTCCTGTCTTCCTGTTTATTCGCCTGGAGGGAATAAGGGACGCTTTTTTCCGCCGAGCCCCTTGGCCGTTTGTCTCCCAGCAACCAATCCTTAGAAATATGGAATGTGCTTGCCGCCCATATCAGATCATCTCGTTCGCTTGATATCGCATTGCTGTTTCTCCGGGAGATGTCTAGCGTGCGGATGTTGCTGCTGCTTTTTTTAGTCCCTTATTGTTTGTTTTGTTGCTGCGGGCGAATTGGTCGCGTCCTATATCAATTGCCTCTTCACCTGAATTATGCCAGGGAGATCCCGTCACCAGACCTGCTGCCTTTCTCTCTTCAACTTGTCAATGTTCTAAGTAATAACCATTGCCTCTTTATACTTTTTCCCTTTCATTTCTTTTGATACCAACAGTTATATTGCATGATTCACAGCTTAGCCTCTGGCTCAATTCCACCTTCTAACATGGGCTCTCAATATGCCGCTCCCTTAGGCGATGTTCGAAATATCCAGACCAATGATAGTGCAGAAAATGCCCTTAAACAAGATGCGACTAATGAAATTCATAGATCCCTAAACAATGCGTCATCAGTGTCAGTGGCCAGGGACCAACATCAATCTCTAGAAGAAAAATCCCTTGCCCCGGCTAAACCTTGCGTCCTATCCTGCCAAATGAACAATACCTCAAAACCTCATACCGCGACCTCGACCTCGATGCCGCACAACCCGGCACTCGAGTGTGTTATCCCCCGCGATAGCTCACGAGGGTCAGCACCTCCTCCCCCACTACCACCACATCCCTTGGGGATTGTTGGCTGGGTTGCTCGCCAGGAAAATGTCGGACCTACAACCCATTCGCCCCTGGCAGAGGTTGGGTTTGCAAGCTTTGCACCTAGTCCTACATTTCCCAAGGCCAGCAGTACTGGGTTTCCTGGGCTGGCCTCGATGCAGACATATTCCCCGGCTGGCGTGATCAGCTCCTTTGGAAACATAGAAGGATGTGCAGGGATAATAGCTCGTCCAACACATATGCTATCGGGGTGCCCTTGCCCCCAATCTCAGACATCTCAAGACCACAACGCCGTTCTTGGGATGTCCGGGAGCAGCAGCGTTGATGGCGGCCGCCATAATGACTCTGAATCCAGGGGAAGGCTGGAATCTGACCTTGCTGATGACGTGCTGGCTGCCGCTGCGGCAGCAGCTGTCGAGGAGCCCCAGCCTCAGAACCTAAAATTTGGGGACTTGGATGTTGACTCTATTGATCTCAACGCGGCTGTCTTTTACTTTTGGTGTTCTATCCGTCGTGGCCAGCCTGCTCCCGCATTTCAGCTATGAGAGAATTGCTGGGGGAAATTGGAGAGCATTCCTCATGTACTGGGACACAGCGACAGCGGCTTCGAAGGATGAGGCTTCTGAGGATAAATTTGTTGCTAAGGCTGAGACGTGCCGTGATGCTCTGGAGAGCTTGAAGGAGAAGTATTCCGGTTGGATTTTGCCTGAGCTTCCGGGCCCAAAGGTGACGCTTGGGGTATGGATTTGGACGGCTTTGCTTCAGGGTATAATAATAATCGTCATAATATTTGGTCCCTTTCTTCTGGAAAATGTTACCTCCACTCTGATACGCAGCATGGAAACTAACTGCGTTATGTCCCTGACATAGAATATTGCCAACAGAACAAACTGGACCGTCCTATTTATACGAAATATGCGCACGAGGAAGGGTTCCGGTATGAAGTAGAGGTTGGAGGGGTATCTTGCTTCGGGGCCAATAAGTTCTATAAAACTGCAACTGAGGCTATACATGCTTCTGCTCATGCAGCTCTTTATTGTCTTTTAATCACCGGCCCCGAGATTATGCCATTGTTTCAAGGGGTTGGTCTTGCGGGTGGTTTACTTGCGAACAGCTTCAGTGGTGGAACTATTACTACACATGTTCAGAAACCATCACTTCAATCACAGGGAAGAACCACACTATTCTATTTTTCGCAGCGGGAGGTTTCCATCCGATTCCATAGCTAACATGACAAAACAGATTACCCAGGCTATGCGGAAACGACATGTGGGCAGAAACCGACTGTTGTCTGGCGACCCAGGTGTGCCTACTGCGCCCAGGGCTGTTCTGCTGCCACCTGGGCCAACAAAGCAAGTGGGTGAGATGGCTAGAAAGGGCAAGAAGAAGGATAATGGAAAGAACGCCAACTTGTTGCCGATTCCTACGACGAGTCGGCGGTTGCCAACCGTAGTACTCCCGTCATCGGAGACGAAAAGCCACAAAATATGGCCTGGAGACCTTGAGTTGATGACGAAGAAATATTCGAATCCGTGCGAGCGTGTTGAAAGTAAACCCTTCCAAACCCCATTACAGCCTTTAGCCCGTCTACTGACTTTTTGCTTTACGATGTGTCTGCCGCCGGATCGTCCCTGACGGGGTGTTCTCCGGTAGCTGTCACCCCCTCACGCACAATTTTCTTTTTTTGCAATAGAGATATGCTTTCTTTTATCCATGGAACTGCCAGAATATCACATAACCCCGTTGGAAGGACAGGCGGACGGGACTGCTCTGCTTTTCAGCGCGGCGGCGCGGTTCCCAAATGATCCATTCCTTGCGCGGGTTGGTAATATTGGGTGGACCAAGTATGTTGAATCGACGCAGATGGCTAAGGAGAAGTGTGCTGTGCAGGTGGTTGGGTATCTGATGAGGATGGTTAGGGAGGATGAGGATTGGGAGCAGGAGGATCCGGGGCAGAAGGTTGGGGAAAATATTAGCAGGTGGGAGGGAATGGCTGCTTCAGCTGCTGCAGGTATGTTAGATTCGGGGGTTAATGTGGATTTTGGAAAGGGTGGTGCTGCGGTTGATCGGTTTGGTTCGGATGCTAGGTGTGATTTCATTCCCTTGGAGTTGGAAGGGTCTGTGAAATTCAAGGAGGATGAGGAGGAGGGTGGGATTATGTGGACGGGCGAGGTTAGGTGAGGATGGGGAGGGGGGCTAAGAGCGCTTGGAAGGGACTTGCTTTTTTACGAGAGAATGAGTGAATGACTGACCCCTTCTGTCTTTCCCTTCAGGGCTTTTTCGACTAGTTTCTGTCCTACGAGTTTTTTTTTTTTTTTTTTTTTTTTTTTTTGTTTTTAGGATAATCACTCTTTGCGTGAGTTCTTATAGTACTAATAACAATACAGAAGCAAAAAGAATGAGAATAATGATCGAGCAGAGTAAAACTGAGATGGATGATATTTCAGGGGATCGGCGGTTTACAAATGACATAACGTCGGCGTGGAAAGTGGCGGGCGGGCGACTTGGTAAACGGAAGGAGGAAAGGAGGAGAGAGGTATAAATGAGAGAGACAGACAGAGATGAGACAGAGAGAGCAAGAAAATAATAATGGAAACAGTTTGATTGAGATGGAGTCTGAGTTTGATCACGTACATTTTTCAAAGTAGATGTGCAATGTAATGATCATGATAATAGTAAAACAGGCAATGCACTTGTTATAAGAACATAATTTTAAAACGTAGAGACAGAATGAGGGGGGAATGTCAAAAGCAAGGTTCTTATGGTATGGCTTGTAATAATATCAGTAACAATGATGAAAAAAAGTTTCATTAAAAAAAAAAGAAGTAGGAGACGAAAAGTGGAGTTTGTTAAAGTGAAGATAGTTATGTGAATGGAGGCAAAATAAGAGAAGCGGTCCTCAGGAGTAAGTAGCAAAGTAATAGAAGAAGAGCAAGAATCCAAGACAAGAGAAGAAATTATTTTAAAACCAAGTATGAGAGAGAGAGAGAGATGATTAAACAGATGATTTAAATTATGGAAGAAAACGGAAAAAAAAAGAAAGTAGGAAAAATAAGGAAAGAGTATAGCATGACACAATTAAGGCATGAAAAGGAACGAGTCAAACAGGAAAGACAAAAGATAATAATGGAATTAAACGATAGGAAAAGGAAAAGGAATTGCAAAAATCCAGGGTATGAATTTGTTGAGAACACACGTAGAAAAAAGAATCCAAAAACAAAGCCATTAAAAAAAGCAGAACATGGGGAAATAATACTAATGCAGGGAGGGGGAAATCAAGATTCTTTTTCCACATTTCAACCATCAGAGAAGTTAAAGAAAAAAAGAAAAAAGAAAAAAAGAAAAAAAGAAGGATCGAGAATCGCCGGGGGTTTTTGCTTGCCTCTTTTCTCTCCTCGTTTTACTTGTAGTAGCTGCAGCTGCAGTAGTTCTTGTTGTAGGTAGTATAGGTTTCCAACTCGTTCTCTTTTAAAGATATAACAAAAACAGAAAGGAAATGTAACGAAGTATAAGGAAGAGGAGTCACACAGACGAACATACACAACAACACAAGCACACACATACATGAACAATAAGAGAAGGAGAATGATTAAATGATGGGTAAAAAAAAATGGAGAAAAAAATGGCAGAAGCCAGAACGGAAAGAGTAAGGTAACCAGAGGAATAACCAAAGGATTAGAAGGAAAAATTAAGCGGAAAATAATAAAGAAAAATTTAGTCAATCAGTCAATCAATCAAAAAGAACGCACCCCCAGCCTAGAGAGAAGAAATAGAAGAGAGAAGAAAAGAGAGAAAAGTTTACAAGCCATCTCCAGCACCCGCTTCAACACCATCGGCCGGGTATGGGATATTCGGGTCGAAACCGAATCCATTCGGATCATCTGTGTTTAGGAACGAGTCAAAGTCGAAGTTCTCTAGGATATCCGGATTGTCCAAAGCGGTGAAGTCGAGGTTGTAATTGTTGGTCTATTGAATTTGTCCAGATTTAGCAAGGTAAGGAAGTCCAAAGGTGAAGGGGGATAAGGGAAGAGATTCAAGGCTTACATCTGAAAGATTCATGTCGAATGTCTGGTTAGGATCTTGTTGTTGTTGAATAAGATTTTGCGCAGCGGGTGCGGAGGTGGGTTGGGGAGCGTTTGTAGTTGGGTTCGTCGTGTTCTTGTTGAATGAGTTCGGATGGACAGGGGTGATAGGAGTAGGTGGCGTGGGAGTTGGGGGTGGTTCGGCTTCCGACGATGGAGTCGCGGCGGTATTCGACGCGTTGGCTGTAGACGGTTTCTTTGGAGGCCGCTGGTAAAAAGAAAAAAAAATAGCTTATTAGCTTAGCTTCAATTAAAACCTTAAAATATCACATCATGTATTCCTCACCTTTCTTGGATTTTCCTTTGGTTCCTTCTTCCCCTTGGGAGCTGGCTTATTGGACTGCTGTGGAGTTGGAGGAGCCGCCCCAGATTGGGGAGAGGAAGGTTGTGCCCGGCCTGCACCAGCGACGCCGGCTGGGGGCGCTTGAGGAGGTGGCATAGCGTTGCGCTCTTGTGGGGTTCCGCAGGCTGGGGCGGCTGACCCACCTTGCTGCTGTTGGATCATGGGTTGCCTTGGGGTCCTTGGCCCTGCCAGTTCCACTTGGCATTCGATTGCCCAGCAGCGCCAGGGCCTTGCGGTCGCGACATGGCATCCATAGGTTGGGCCATTTGAGGGCCGCTGAATGCCGGGTTCGAACTTGGCGGTCTCATTCCATTCTGAACGACACCCTCTGGCATATTCTTGTTCATGAAAAATGCCCCGCCCATTTCTTGCGGCATCTGGCCACCAAAGTTCATTGACGCAGGAGAGCTGCGACCCTGGGCCATCGCATCACCAACAGAAGGAGAGCCAGGTAGACCAGACTGAGGCATCTTCGGGGTGCCTCTCTTCATCTGATCATTCGGGTTCGGGGATGCGCCGGCCCGACTTCCTGCGGGGATGTGCCGGGGGGTAGGTTAGGCTGCCCAGGCATGCCTGGTTGACCATCGCCTCGGGTAATGCTGTCTTGCTCCTGACGAGCCATGAGCAGGCGACGTTTATTCTGCTGCTCCAGAAGCATCAGCTGCATTTGATAATCTTGGAGGGCATGATTCCCGGAGCCAGGCGTTTGCATTTGTGGTCGCGGAACTTGCGCCATTTGGCCGTTTGCGCCATAATATTCTTGCATTGGCAAGAGCTGACCATCATGCATGGGCATGGTGTCACCTTGGTTTGGCATGACTCCGGGATTCATTAAGCCATTCGGCATACCCTGGTTATTCATTGCTGAGCGATTGTTATGTAGAGCCATGCTTTGATTATATACCTGGAGAGATTTTGCTTGTACAGAAGGATTTTGCGCCTGGAACGAACTGAACTGTGCAGGAGTCAAGTTGTTCGGGTTGATCCCGTGCTGCATCAACATCGCGTTGGCCTGGTGGGCTGGACGGCCAGGCATTTGGCCCTGCCCACGCCCATTTGGTGCCATCTGCATTCCATTTACCTGCGAGCCGTCTAAACGAGGACGCTTCGAAGGTGATGGAGCGTTTTCGGCAGACGACGGCGATTGAGGTCGATGGCCGTTCATTTCCATCTCAGAAGGTTCACGTTGCATCTGATGATGCAGCATTTGTTGATTTTTCTGCAGCTGCGCCATGTGTTGGGGCGTCCTGTCCGACAGTTAGTCTCACGAGAGGAGAGAAATTTTTGACATTACCCGTATAAAAAAGATTATCAACGTACATATTTGGGTTCTGCATCATGGTCTTTTGAATATTGGCAGGAATCATGCCAGTACGGGCTGTGCGCATGTTATATTGCGCAGGCATCATTTGCGACTGGCGCAACATTTGCTGGTTTTGCATGCGCAGCAATTGCTGAAAAGCAGCGCATTATTTCAATTAGTATTATCAAAGAAAAGTAAATATATATATGTAAAGACATACCTGGGTCTGTTGGACATAATGCATCGCGTCCGGGTTTTTACTTCGTTTCCGTTGGGCCAAAAAAATATCCCAGAAAAGGTTAAACCAGTCGAGGAGAAAAGGGGTTTGTTGTAAGTCTCCGCCAGGGCCTGGAGGTATATTTGGTCGCGGAAGGTCGTCAGGTATTCTTTGTTTATTCACATCGTCCTTGGACTCCGTGGCCATTGCATCACCGTCAACGCCATTCATTTCTCCATCGCGGCGGTGTGATGGAGTCAACTTGGAGGCGGGAGAAGTGCTCATGGTAAACGATTCATCTTGTATTAGGGCTCTTGCACAATCATGATAACCGCGTTTGAGGAAATAGTCGTAGATATAGGTGTTTAATTGCACAATATTGTCTCCCTGAAGACTCTGGCCGTTGGGATCACTGCGCGGGGCTGACGAGCCGTTGTTCATCATGGGGATGCCACCGACGGGACCGCCTGCTCCCGGGTTCATCCCAGCGACGTTCATCTGATTCATAGTTGGAGCGAGTTAGGCCAGCCAACTTGGCACTCTTGTCCAGAGCGTGAGGTAAAACCTCTCCCAATCGACGTCTTTGTTTGGTAGCGCTCCCCAAAACAGGGACTGTGAGTAATAGGAGAAGAGACGATGAAAAAGGCACGGGATTTGAGGAAAATAAGTAGGGCGATCGGAGAGAGTAATAGTAGTAGCAGCACCAGTCGGTGTGTCGTAATGTGGAGGATAGAGAAGGATCGACTGAGCGAACAAAGACGCTTTCGGAGACGACAGCGAAGAATTTTGTACGAAAATATTTCAGAACTGTTAAACTAGACTGTAGAGGTGAATTGCACGATGATCACCACGAACGAATGAGGTTGGATGCGACGACGCGATTTCAGAGAGGCGTTCCTTTTCAGATTTGGAGCATCAATTCCAAAGCGTTGGTTGGGTGGGGAGTCCAGGGGGGGGAAAGGAAAAGAAAGCGAAAGAGAAGCAACGGGTATGGCAAAATGCGATGACTTTTGAGTCCTGGTATAGTCAACGGAATAGCTAAGACGGGATATTGTTACAGTGCACGACCGACTTTTGCGCGAGAGGGTTGGTGAGGTTGGAAGACAGTGAAGGGCAGCGGCGCGGTTGCGGTTGGTCTGCGTGCGCTTTACGGCAGGGCTGGAGATAAGGAGAACCCTTTAAAACGAGAGCAAGCGCGAGTTAGTTGGATAAACGGCATAGAATAATGTGGGAAAAAGAGGATAATGTGCGGATTGGTGTAGTGTGGTGTAGTGCGATATGGAGTGGAGAGTGAGTGAAGGGTGTACCTGGGAGGATAGAGGGAGGGAGCAAGGGAATAAGAGTGGTGTGTATGTCGGGAGCGTAGTCTAAGGTCTAGTTTGAGCCTCCCGGGGCGAAAAGCCTGGACAAAGAAAGAGGAGCGTGGTGTGAGGAGATGAGGCAGGCGGAGGAGGAGAGGAGGAGGTGAGAAGAAGAGTAGACGGCAGGAGAAAGTTTGTGGGGGGTGGAGAAGACGTGGATATGGCTGGCAGAGGCGAGGGAAAGCGGGAAGAGGGAGATCTTCCTGTCGCTGTGGGCGGAGAGGGAGGGAAGTCAGAAGTCAAAAAGAAGCCCTACTTGCTAGAACAGTAGCAGTCAGTCAGACAGACAGACGGACGGACGACCAGAGAAGCAGCGGACCCCGCGTACTGCGAGTCACATCCGCGATGGTATTTTCTATTTCCAGCTCCAGCAGCGGGCGGGTAGGTAGCTGAGGGGGAGGGAGACTGGCGATGGCGATGGCGATGGCGATGGCGATGGCGATGGCGATGGCGATGGCGATGGCGATGGCGATGGCGATGGCGGTGGTGATGGAGAGGGAGCGAGGTTGGGTGTGTCGAAGGTGGTGGAGGAGGAGAAGGGCGGTTTGGCGTGGTGGAGGCAGTGGAGATAAGCGGTGGGAGGAAGGCCAGACGGTGGTTAAGGAGGCGCGATGAGCGTGGCAGAGGGCGTGGAGGTAGTGGTGATAGGCGGGAGGTACACAGTGCGCAATGGGTGGGCGGCCGGGTCGGATTATCGATTTTCCCGGTCCCAGATCAACCCGCGGCCGCAGAACTCCTCGTCACGGGGGGCTTGGCAAGGTTTTTGGTTGAAGCGAGGGAGAGGAGAAGTAGGTAGGTATATAGGGTTTGTAAAGTGATGATGGAGAGGTTATTTTTATTGGGGATGGCTTGTGAGGGAAAGTTAATCGTTCATAGGTTGCTGGTGGGCTCTTTTGGTGGGGATGATGATGATGACCAACGGTAACTAAGGGGGATTGTTATTTGGACGTTTATTTATACAATTATTCACAATAATAATATAACGTACACAGAATGGACAGATGGGGGGAGAGAAAGAAGTTAAAATAGGAAGCCAAAGAGGAAGAAGAAGAAGAAGAAGAAGAAGAAAAAGACAATCATCAACAATCCGTGCTTTGTGGTGGGAAAAGGACAAATAAAAAATATCCACGACTTCTGGCGTGTCGTTGTCGCGGTGGGTATATAAATAGATTGCTACTACTACTACATACACTTCACTCCTTCTCGCTTTTGCTTTCCCCAGGTTGTTTATTTATTCTTTTATTTATATCCCTTGCCTTTCTTCTTTCTTTCCTCCTTCCTTTCTTTCTTCATTTCCCTATCGCCTATAGTTATACTATCCGGCAGAAACTTCTAGTAGCTTATCTCTTAGATCTCTCCCCGTCTACATTAAGTCGCCGCTCGGGGTCTGCTGTTGTTGGAGGAAGGAAAGGCATCGGACAGCGCCTTTTTATAATGTTCAGGAG